AGTGGAAAAAAAAAAAAAAAAAAAAAAGAATGAAACTGTTCTCTTACAACCAGGATTTCTTGCCAGTCATACAAATTAGGCCCTGGGAAAATGTGGGCTTGGTTATTCCTGTCAACCTCCCTTACAGTAAATATCCTTTGATGGGAAAATGGGATTATGCAATGAATAGAAAATTTCTTCTCATGAGGAAAATCATCTATGCTCTTCTCAGTCAAGAAGTTATGCCAAATACATTTAAAAGCCCCAAAATTATACTTTTAGAGATTTAGAAAAAAAGTCAGCCTTTTTTTTAGTAGTAAAGACTCCCTTTTCAAGTGTCTATATCTACCTTTATATTTTCCCCATTATTAAATTTTTCAAGCATACACAAAAGTACATGAAATATAAATGTTAAGCCTATTAAATCATTGTGAAATGAACATCCATATAACCACCCAGCCAAGAAATAGATCGTTGCTAGCACTCCAGATCCCCAGCGATGGCCCTTTCCTGATGGTGACCCCTTACCCCTTTCCCCCTCCTCTAGGAGTAACCACTATTCTGACCAGGGTGAGAACTAGGGTAAGGCATTTAAGGCACTGACCTCAGGCACAAAATTTGAGGTGGTGCCAAAAAAACACAATAATCAAGATAAATACAATTTTAACACAATATTTTAGAAAATCATAGTGCAAAAATTCAAAATGAGCAAAATACCAAAATTTAAAATAAAAGCAGACTAACTTGATTGAAATTCTCTACTTTGCTTTGCCTCATACTTTTACTCTGAGTTGAGTTAGTATCTCTAAACTGTATAGCTTTAATTTGCCTGTTTTTGAAATCTATATAAATAAAATCAAACTTCATACACTTTGTGTACATTTGGCTTCTTTCATCCATTTTTAAAACCTATATAAATAAAATCATACTTTACGCATTTTGTGTATGTTTGGCTTCTTTAATCCAAATTTTTTTTTTTGAGGCTGGCTGGTATGGGGATCCAAACCCTGTTTTTAAAAATTATAGGTGATTTTTATTTTTTAAAATACTGTATTTTCTAATTAATCTTCAGTGGGGGATATATTACATCATTTAAAAAGTATTCTAGAAAGAAACAAAAAAGAGTAAAGCTTAGTTGTAGCTCATATAGTCATACTAACTATTCTTAGGCTTACGGAACTTGAGCTTTTCTGACAGTATTTGGGCCCAAGAAGTGGCATCTGAGCCACCTGATTCAAATCTCTTCTTCTAGAAGCTTTTCAGGACATGTTTTCCTGCTTCACATTGATACTCATCACTCAGAGAGGTTCAGTGACTTGTTCAAGGTTACACATGTAAGTCAGAGGCGGATCAACATTCACACACAGATACGTCTGACTTTTAAAGACAATGGACTTTTCACTGTGGCCCGCCTCTGTCACAGCCTTAAGCTGGAGACTGAGGACCCAGCTGAGGAGAGAAGGCAGCGTGCAAGGTATGGAACATTGGGCCAGGTGTCGTCCCCCTCCACAGCGCGCACCTGTGGATGCTGACTGGGGGTTGAAGGGGCTTGCTGACGTCTCATGGCCACTAAGTGGGGTGGGTACAGTTTGAACGGGGGCCTCTGCCTGCAGACTGTGCTTTCCTCTCATGGTGTGCCCCTCTGCTGAGCACAGCTGGGAAACCCTCTGACTTTTTGCCACTTCCTTGTATGCCGCCTCAGTAGCCCAGGTCCTAGGTGGCCTGACAGGGTGGGAGAGAAGTGCGTTTTAGAAGCTGGTACCTGAGCTGATGGGGCCCACTGTGCGGCCAAGTGGGGCAGCAGCGGCCGGCCACTCACAGCCCTGGGTCCGTGCTCCTGGCCGCCCTCCTCTGTCTCTCACCTGGTGGCATTTGTTTTAGGGACTTGTAATTGTGGAAAGAGATGTTCCCCAAATGATTCTCCACAAACTTGAGAGTCACTCAGGCCGTATGTGGTTCTGGTTTTTAGAACTGTTTCCCTTTGCAGCAATGTTGCAAGTGTCAGTTGGTTTAGATAGAAACTCCTAACCTTGACTAGGAAAAAAATAAAGCATGGCTAAGGGCAGTCTTCTCTGGACACGGCTCAGAGGCTGTGTGACATTGTGTGAGCTGCTCGCTGGGGGAGCAGAGCCTCGGGGAGCCGCCTGCCACTCCCCAGCCCGGGCTGGGAAGCCAGGCCCTCATCTGAGGCCAGCCTCGGCAGAGACTGTCGTCCTGTGGGTGAACTCAGGCCGAGGGGTTTACTCCACTTTGGCTCTAATGGCCAGAGCACTTGGGGAACAGGGACATAGGTGCTTAAGTGCGCGGGTGGCCTCAGGTGAGCAAGGAGAGTGACGCTGTCCCTGGGCAAGGTAAATACAACACTAATGGCTTGTGCAGGTTGCTAAGAGTCATCTGGGCCTGGTCACCACAGAGGCAGCTTGTCTCTTCTGTTCCTGTGGCCAGCTGGAACGCTCTGTGCATTGTTACCTGCCGTTGCGATTACCTGGGGGCACTGGTTCCTGTTTGTTTAGTGATTTTTGCAGTAGTTTCTGCCGAAGACATTTGTTTAGGGAGGAAGGGAAGGGCAGCCTGACTTGGTTATTAGCTTCCATTTGCCTGTGGCCGGAAGTCCCTAATGGTCTGGTCTCCCAGCCGTAGGCTCAGAGCTCCTGGGGTTGGCGCCTGCTGCCTCTGTGCTTTTAGGCCAGGCCATCTGGCCTAGGCGTTTCTCCTCTTAAGCTCAGTAAACTCCAAGGCTGTTACAGATCACCTTTCCAGCTGTCACACTGACCAGCTGACAGCTGCCACCCGGGAAGGATGGTGGGATTTGGATGTGGTCAGGAGAGCAAGCATCAGCGTCCTGGCAAGGCTCTGAGGGGCGAGCCATACAGGGACACAGCCCTAACAATCGTCATGTAAGAAAGAACGAGACTTGCATCTGCTGCTCTTTGCATAAAGAACCTCCGGAAGGATACCAATAAGCCAATTAAAAGTGGTTTCCAGTTCAGAAGAAGGTGGGGACTGGGGCAGATGATGACAGAGATGGTAGTAAAGGTATTTAATACCTTATTATTCTTTCTCACTCAGTGTCCTTTCACACTGCAGCCATGTGAGTGCATTGCCTATTCATAGTAGTTGTAAACAAGGAAGAGAAAGTGAGGTGTCCCTCTCCCGGAGGGCTGGTGTGGCTGTGGCTTGGGAACACCCGGCACTGTCTGGGGTGT